TTCAAAGCTTTGAAGGGTTCAGACCAGCGGCTCCACCACAAATGCGCGCACAACAAAAGCGCGCCTGACTAAACCGCGGTGACTAAAGCGCGGTGACAAAACCGCACGATGAATGAGCGACTAATTAGCCCTAAAGCGCGCCGACAAAAGCGCGCCGACAGAAGCGCGCTGTAACGGAACCCTAACCCTAAACCTAACCCTAAACCTTACCTTAAATTAAATCGCGCTTCTGTCGGCGCGCTGTTGTCAGCGCGCTTTTGACATCGCGGTTTTAGCGCCGCGGTGTTGTCGGCGCGCTTATGACGTTCGCGCTTTTGTCGGGTCACGATTTTTTTAAAAGCAGTAAGCCTATTTCCAGGCATGCTGGCTATTGAAGTTAATCTTTATCAGTGCTTATTTTGGTATCAGCCTGACCTATTTCTAATGCATGTGCAGCCTTCCAATTAGTTTACATAAAGTCATGGCTGTGATATAGCAGTGCAGTAATATTTTCTTCTAACCATAAATTTAGACATTGCATTCAACCCCATCACTTTATTACCCCTGCCAATATCAGCCACCAATGGCCAAGTTGTAGTCTGTCTCTGCTGCTCTATTGGTTAAACTAGAAACACTTTGAGGGAAAAAACAGCACATTCTAACCGCCTTCTTTTGAGCATAGGAGAGAACTATTTTTCCTTGGGACAAAATCTGTGGAACCCAGGTTCATCTTGCTTGAAGATTGAAATATTGAAATGTAGTGCTTATATCTTACTCCTGATATAATAATATAGCCATATTATAATATAGCCATATTCTACTTATTTTTGTTCTTCATATACGAGAGTAACAGTTTGAAATAGAATCCATAACAAGTACAGTATTTCTCCAGACATTACCAAACTCCTACTTTTATTAATTCTAGTTGGACCAGCAATAAGAATTGTAGTCAAACAATGCCTGAAGATTAAAGCACTGCTAGTTTAGAGGAGGTCTGGCATTTGCTCATTTGAATATGAATTTCATATTTTGTTTTGGAAACTAGTCTCTTCTGCATCATGAGTAAGTCAATAAAGGGGTAAAATATCTTTTTATGTTCAGGATTATGACAAGTTTTTATGTGTAAGGTGGGATAAAGAAACAATAGTCTCAGCAAATATTTTATTGTCCTAAGCCTTTAAGGATAAGTTAGTTCAGTCAAATTAGAGCCAAATAATTTCTTTGGAAATGCATATAATTCTTTATAATGTTACTGTTTATAAACATTGTATATTTTTAATAGGTACGCGGCCACCACTGATAAAAAATTTGCCTAAGCCTATTGAGAGTTTAATGACTCGATGTTGGTCTAAAGATCCTTCACAGAGACCTTCCATGGAGGAAATAGTCAAAATAATGACACACTTGATGCAGGTATAATATTTAAATCTTAAATATTGCTGAAATAAACTGGTTTCTAGAAGGAATGTAAAATAGAAAATATGAATTTGATAGCGTGAAGATAAATTTTGGAAGTGAGTAGAATATCTTTCATGGCCTTCTGAGGGACCTAAAATAATAAACCCTCTGAACTTTGCAATAATATTTAACCAGCATTTAACAAATTTAAAATACATGGAATTAACACACACATTCCACAAAACAAAACACAATCTAGTGCTTTGTTCCAAAATTAAACTTGTTTTCTTATTCCTACCTTTTTTTTCTTTGACATAGTTGTAATGAGGAATACTCTAAAAAAATTGGAAGATACCCTAGGTCTCTACCAATGTTTAACATAAGTATGGCTTCTTAAAAAGCCAGAAAAATAAATGATTTTTTTAGAGAGGCAAATTAACCAGAGATCCTGTTGTTCAAATGAAGCTTTTCATTTGTTGAGAAACAGAAATTTCTAATTAATTGTAGCATGCTAGAAGAAGAGTGTATTTTAATTGCTACAATAAATATCATTTTTTCAGTGCTATAGGTAAAAGAAAAAATGCATTTGATTTAAAAACAAAAACGATATTTTAGCCCTTTTTGTTATAAGTACCTTTTGGTAATTGTTTAGCCTGGTTTGGCTTCTCATGTTATAATTATTAAATAATAAATTCATTGACTAAATCACAACTTATAGCATTATCTTGGAAACAAATTGAATTTAGCAGCTTTTAGGCACTTTTCTTAAAAATGGTCTTTGTAATAGGGGAAATTACAAGATTCCAGTAATATATTATTCTTTCATTGCAGTATTTTCCAGGAGCTGACGAACCTCTACAGTATCCCTGTCAGTATTCTGATGAAGGCCAAAGCAACTCTGCTACTAGTACAGGTAATCAGATTATATGTTTCAGACATCAAACTCATACATTTTAAGCCAGGAAGGATAATCTTTTACTTGCAAGGAAACACACTGTTAGAGGGAAGAAGCTTCAAGACTGCAGTGGTCAGGGCAAGGATACCAGATACCAGGGCTGTGGCACAAGTGCACAGAGCTGAGATTTTTCAGCATTTATCTTGTATGGAGACATTGAGGATATCACCAGTTTTTTTAAGAGGACATAAATCTTAACTTTAACTAAACATATTTTTAAAAATCTAGGTTCATTTATGGACATGACTTCCACAAACACCAGTAACAAAAGTGATATCAACATAGAAGCAAATGATTTTCAAGGAACCGCTACGAATGACACCATTAAACGTTTGGAAACAAAATTGGCCCAACAGATGAAAAATCCAGCAAAGCAGGTGGTAAGAATGTAGAAATTTGTATTTGAGATCATTTCTTTTGAAGCAAAATGATATGAAAATCCTTTATAAAGTTGTGAGCAAGATGGTGCCCTCAAATATTTTCCATCCTTTAAATCAGACTGCCAAAATTTTGGTAACTATCTATTATTGTTATTTGGCTTAGCCACCCAAAACGTCTTCAGATTCCCACAAAACACCGAAGGAAATCCTAACTTCACCCATTTCAAGAACATTACAAAAACTTTGCTTTATCCATTGTGTTCCTTGTGGCAACCAAAGAACATTTTAAAAAAACCTGCCATCCCTACAAGCAGAAGGTGATTTGTCCCATGTATAAATGATATTAATAATCTTCATTACTTTTTTAAAGCTTAGAATGAAAAAGGAAAGTATATATTTGCAGAGTTTTTCTGTGGTAATAGTGGGTTTGCAAAATGTTGAAAGCTTCCTGGCAGCCTTTCTCTTCCTGTGTTGTAAAGTTTATAGGTTTTCATAACTTTTTGAGAATAATTATTCTAAATATGCAATTTTTGTTCATTTCTGAAATCAGTACGATTACTTTTTTACAGGGAGAACAGGGCCGTTTGAGTTTACCTCCATCTCGTGGTAGTAGTGTGGAGAGCTTGTCAGATGTTCGTGGGCGACCACAGTCAGCTCATGTTCCAGGAGAAGGCAAGCTAATGAGCGCTGACATGTCAGAAATTGAAGCAAGAATTGCTGCTTCTGCAGGTAAAGATATTATTTTTAAACTTCCCAAATGTTTTTAGGAGCATTTTTGGCATTTTGAGAGTATATTGTGATCCTGCACAATAGCTGTGTTCCATGGCTGTTGCCACAAACCCCCCCCCCCAATACCACTCTCATCTCTCCAAAACAAAGTAGTCAAACTAAAGGAGATTAAGTTGTTGCAAAGTTGAAATATGAATTGCAAACCAGATAACTTTTTTTAAGATTGCAGCATTCGCCTTTAAATGCATTTCACAGAAGTAATGATGAGAGTCAGAGACCAGAAATTTGATGGGGGGAGGAAAAACAGAGTTTAAGGCAAATATTTGGGTAACATTCCAAAATTCCAATTCTCATCTTTGCCTCATCAGAAATAAGCAAAATCAAAATGCTTGAAGAAAAACAATGGACAAAATATATGAAGCATATTTGAAAATAATGATGGTACTGGAGGCTTATGTTCTGTAATGTAATAGGTTTTAAAGAAATTGTCCATGGTGGACATTGGTCCATGGTGTTTACTGCCTGCAAACACCACAGTATAATTTCCATCAACTTTTAAGATTTAGATATATATAAGAGCTAAAATAAGGAAAATCAAATACATTTCTATGCAAGTCAGGTGTTAGATTGCATTTTATATTAATCCCTTCCTAAATGTTACAAAACATTAAGACCTTTGTGTGAATAAGGGTAAGAACATTATGTGTGCCCTATAATACCTCCAGACATTGTCATCCTCCAATATAAATACTGACTTTTTCAATGGAGAACTTTTTCTTTCCATGAAGCTTCTCTGTGTGAATTTCATCTCTTTGATTTGATAATGCTTAACAGCTCAGGAACATCCCATAAGCCTTTGGCACAAAGGAGGAAAGGAGATGCATTCTACAGAAGAAGCAAGAAAGTCATTGAAATTTTCTTTAAAAAATTATAATCAATAGGATACTTATACTGAACCAGGCATCTTCCACACTCCCCCTCTCCCTGAGTAGATTATGTTTTTTGTATAACATTTTTAATTTTGCAAATAATTGTTCATATTTCAGTATTATTTGTTGATTAATTGACTGACCAAATTAATATGGATTGTTACAAGAAGTGACTCTAGGCAGGGTACCATTATGAGATAATTTTGCCAATTTCTTTTGATTTAAGAGCTATGTATTTCTAGTGTTAATTTATTACAGCATAAACATGACTTAATTTGATGGCTATAATGTTAATAAGGCTCAAAATTACAGGCTACAATATCAATAACAAAATCAAAATTAGTTTATAGTAATAGTCTATTTCAAATGCTAGACAATGATTGACGTTCAAAATCTATTACCGTGCCCTGAATAAGCAATCATTTCTGCAGTAATCGTTCTCTTTTTATGTCTAATCAACTATTGGCCAAACTTTCTAGAAGTTAATTAAGTCTCTATCATTGAGATTTAGTCTTTTCTTTTTATTTTAATTACAATTACAGTAGTGGGTAAATATTTAGAATGTCTTCATACTTCATTCATGAGCAGTCAAACAGTGATCCTTGTATCAGGTGCATCACTTAATCAAATCCTGTTTGTAATTGATTGAATCGGGCAAGATTAAATAATCCAACTTCCCAAGGCAGCCTGCTGAATGGGAAGATGAAGAAGAAGCAAATAGAATATTCTGAAGAATGAGAAAACAAGGGGGTTTCAGAGAAGTAAAAATTAAAAGCCAACAAAAATTGGTTCTGGCCCTGCTCCTTCATGTCATAAGGGCATTGCCACATTTTGTGGGTCCCAGACTATTGTTAAATACCTCAACTACATTTTACCTTTGTTGTAAAGTCATACACACACACACAGGAACTGTTTTTGGTTTCTCATTCGTTTGACACCCAACTTCTGACATTAGTGGGATATATATATATAGTGAAGATGAGAAGCAGTATTTTAGTGTTAAGGTTGGGCAGTTTTGGCAACGTATACAAGTATAATTACCAGGAGAAATTTCCAGATAAAAGGATGTATATTCATATGAATCTGTTAGGAAACAAGTTTCTTGAATACTGTTTATCTAATAAAAAACATGCTCAGATGTGCAAAATAAATCAAAAACTATTGTAGCTGGAATATTTTAAGAATAAATTAAATTATATTAGAGGACCAGTGGAAGAAGCAGATCTCACTTGTGTGCTATTATACAAATTGCTGAGAGTAAACACACATTAAATCTTTAACTGCAAGATACAGAATCGTTATTCAGATCTGTTCTACCAGTTCAACAACCTTGCCCAGGAAAAAGTCTCCTTGGTAGGTTATGTTAGGACTCCCTTAGGAGATGTTATTATCAGGTGCCATATTGATAGCATTTGCCTCTAGAACAGGTTCTAATTTAATATTTAAACATCACCTCCTCTGCATATCTTTTTATGTTAACTGGTATCATTAACAGTTATATTTAATTCCAGAGTTTACTTCTAGCTAGTACTCCTTCCTAAATCTATTAATTATGTGATATTATCCTTAATATTATGGCTGATTGTGCGTCTTTCACAAGAGAAACAGATTACATTTAAAATATTAAAAATATTGAATTAATAATTTTCAAAAAAAAATCAAAAATGTATAGTCAAAATATTTGGGCCATAGTGCGTAGCTTATATTTTGTTTTTTGTTTTTTTTTAAAAAAAGAAGTTGAGTTGTGTTAGTTAATTAAATTTATTTTGCACCCCAAATTGTGAAAAGCTATCTCTATGCATTTAATATACATTTCCAGGGCAATCAGTTAAAAATTCTAGTCGCTCATAGCTAGGGTTTGTTGTTGTTTCCTTGTGACTCTTTCTACTCTGTTCATTTGAATTTTGTGTCTCTAACTACAACTAATAATGTATTTTGTTATATTGTTGATCCTAGTTATGAATGTTGCTCTTAACAAATGCTTTACTGTTTTTAAGCATGAACGGAAAGCTATGCAGTTCAGTCTGCATGTCCTTTGTTTGCATGAGTTTAACCAAATTAAGTTTATAAAAGAGTAGTTCTAGTCTGAATGATTTTGTGTTACCATTATAGTCGTTTGCATGTGTATTGTATGTGTATATATGTTTTTTCAGCCTTTTCCAAACCTAAACGAGGCCATCGTAAAACTGCTTCATTTGGCAACATTCTGGATGTCCCAGAGATCATCAAACCAGGTATTGCATGCCAGCTGTGTGAATCTATTGACACAGATGCTGGAGTAATGACTAAACCTTTAAATACTTTTTGCTCCTGTTCATGGGTGATTGATTACTCACTGGCCAAAAATAATTAAGAGCCAAGGTGGCGCAGTGGTTAAATGCAGCACTGCAGGCTACTGCTAGATCAGCAGTTCAGCAGTTCAAATCTCACCGGCTCAGGGTTGACTCAGCCTTCCATCCTTCCGAGGTGGGTAAAATGAGGACCCAGANGCAGTCAGAGCTAAATTAAATTTCTCAATGCTTTTCATGCCTATTTATAGTCAGAGATTATGACAACATTGATTGGCTCATAGATTTAGCCTCTGTGCATTTTGATTGGTCAGCCAAAGCTCACTGCTGATTGGCTACTTTCGATCCTAGCATTCTCGAAAATTCAAGTTAGGTTTGTTTTAGCACATAAACTCACTCAAAACCTTAAAAAGACTTTGGTTATATTAATAAAAATTATGCAACTCAATCCAACTACAGAAATTTTCATCAAAGTACTAATTTTGTGTGGTTTCTATGAGTGAAAAGTTGATCAAACATGTAAATACAGCTTAAAACTGAAAGCATGAAGGACTTTTTCACACAGCTGTGTATATATGTGTGTGTTGTGTACGTACATACACAAGCACACATATATATACACACAAGCACACATACACTCATACATACACACAGAGAGATTATTTCATACAGTTAATCATTTTCCTTTTAAATCATACTATTTGTAACAATGTTTAGAGGTCTGTGATGGGTGCAACCAATATTTTTGTTATATAGAAGCATAGGAACAAAAATAATTCTGTTGTGTACTTTGTACGTCATGGAGCACCTTTCAGAAGTAGCATTCCCCTTTTATATCTTCTGTAATGTACAATAAAATTCTTTTTAGTTTGTACCTTTGTTTTTCAGTCCTACACGGTGCTGAGCCTCTACCTTATTATACTGCTGCACATGCAATGAGTTGGTGTTTACAATGTTCCCAAGGAGTAGCATACCTTCACAGCATGAAACCGAAAGCACTCATACACAGGGACCTAAAACCACCGAAGTAGGTTTTCAAGAATTCTGTAAGACACTGTCATTCTTAAAGGCTTTTTTCTAATAAACCTAGAAAACATTGTAGTTTGTAATAGTAATTCTTGGATGCAATGTAAGTTATTGGAATGTTATGTAAATAGTCTATATTTCATCGTCAGTAAAGAGTATAGGTTTTTTTTTTAATGAAATTTGTATGCCGCCCATCTTACTATCAAGCATGTTTTGATAAATCTTGATAATCAGCTGTAATAATTGCAGGAGATCTAAAGCTTGTTATGTTATGATATTGTGATTAAAATTAATAACACTGATGTATTAGACTCAGATAACAAGCGGCAGTCTTTCAGTTAAAATATGAAAGGAGGAATTACTTACAAAGGAATGCTGAAGTTCAGGTCTATACTTTGGCCTGGATTGTTAAAAACAGTGGGCATCTATGATCTGTTAAGCAAAGTTACCTCGTTTGTGAAATACATTTTTATTATTATATTTATCACTCGGATAAATCACTTCTGTGTGTCTCACCAAAATAAAAGCAAGATAAAATAAAATATACAATTATTCTTTTAAAAGTAAATAGAGTGAGATGGACTCATGAAATGATTCATTGTCACCAGGTGGGTGTTTTCACTAGAAGCTTTGTTATTGTTTTATATTGCTTTTTTATACTTTATGTCTTTGTATGCCCGCCAGAGTCATTGAGAATGAATTTGGCATATAAATTTGTTTGAAGAATGTTTAAAACTAGATATGGAACACAATAGTTGTTCCTGTAAAATCAGTCTTGATCTTGATACATTGCAGTTAGTTATTTTTGCATTCAATAACGAATAGGTATAAACCTAGTTGCTCCATTCAATTTGATTGTACTGCACAATAGAATAAAAATTCCCTTCTGTCTTATGACACTAAAGCACATTGTAATTTCTTCATTGTTGACCTCTGTCTTCCCAAATTCACTTTTCCGTCATTTTTTTTACAAATTACTAATAAAGATTGTTTACTTATGCCCTTTAAAGAGAAGTATATTGCTTTTAATTACAGTAAAAATCTGACATCTACTTTTTACTTTTGTATATTAAATCTACAGATCCTGTACATAAATTGCTTAGAGAATATTTTATCTGCTTCTTAACATTTATTTTGGCAAAATACATACTGTAATTAAATTCTATTTGTTTTACAGTTTGCTCTTGGTGGCAGGAGGAACTGTTTTAAAAATATGTGATTTCGGTACAGCTTGTGATATTCAGACTCACATGACCAATAATAAGGGCAGTGCTGCTTGGATGGCACCTGAAGTTTTTGAAGGTAACAGAGTAATTTTGAAACTGACTACCATTCTCAGGTGTTAGTAATTAGTAATTTTTGTAGTAATTTTGCAGAGATTCATTTGCTGCAGATATACTTTTTGCTGTTGTTTATAAAATTATTTCAGAAGCCAGTAGAAAACACAGTCAACTGTATAGTTATGATGTGACTTAAATTGTTGAAGGCTTGCCATTTGAATTAATGCAGTTTAAGAATCTGCAGTATATATGAATAATCTTATAAATGAAGAAATGATTCTGTTCTAATGTACACCTGTGAAAATGTTAGAAAATATCAAATAAGATATTTGAAATCAACATTTTTCAAGCTTTTTTATTAATGTTAAATTGGTGTAAAATTTAAATCATGTGAAAGTTGTATAAGGGGTTTAGCACTCAATATTACAATAAAACAGGGTTATAGTGGCAATCAGTCAGCATATGATCATAAAATTCCTCTCTTCTTGTACTTTGAGGTTTGATGCTATGAATCACATTGTGTAATTGAAGAAAAATAGAGATGGTTTTTCATTGAACAACATGTGCATGAATATGTAAGTCATTGGATTCACACCCGTATGTATTCTGTTAGAAAGCACATGTTTAAATCAACCTGTTTTATAGTATATTGAAGAATCAATTATAGAATTGCTTACTTCCAGATTAATTTGATATTTTATTATAATTAAAACACCTATAATCTTGTTAGTAATAGAGCACATTTAATTTTTTTTTAAAAACATGTATAAATAATCCTTTTCAGGTAGCAATTACAGTGAAAAATGTGATGTATTCAGTTGGGGTATTATTCTTTGGGAAGTAATTACTCGCAGAAAACCTTTCGATGAGATTGGTGGACCTGCTTTCCGGATCATGTGGGCAGTTCACAATGGTAAGCTCAAATTTTAAGTGATGAACAAGTGTCTTTGTGGAAAATGCTGCTGAATTTTGCCACTGATTTTCTATATAGTACTCTAGATGTGCTGATGCAAAAAAGGACATGTTGTATGTTTGCTTGCCTCCTCTGTCTTCAGTACATAACTTTGGTTGGCTAACAGATATGTACAGCTCCCTTAACATCCTGCCCTAATATCTGATGAAACTGACAGGTCTCAGTGGCCTTCTGAAAAGCCACTCTAGACATGTTGGTGGCAAGTCTGATTAAATTATTATTTGCCTCAGTTTCATAGAAAGCAGAGGCTAAAGTTTAATAGAAAAAAGATGAAATGCAATCACTTCTTCTTGCCTCTTGTTATTTTATTTACTATCCTATCTTCCTGCTTTTGTATAGACTGGGCAGGGGGGGAGCTAAATATAAAATATATAAAAAGGAACACTTTTTAATGGGGATTGGAATGAAACAGAAACTGGTTTTTGTATTGAGTTTGGTGCAAAACAGCTCCATCCAAAATCTTCCATTGATACATATCTATGTTAGATCTGCCTTGAAGAGACTAACTAAATATTTTGAGTGTTCATTCCAAGATTACAAAAATAGGTGGGATGGTGTTTGTTATAATTATCATGTGTTCTTCCTTTCTCTCTCAAAAACAGTAGAATGAAAATAGTTAAGTGGTTGGGGTGGGCTGCTTATTATCATTATTATTTGCTTTTTCTCATCTTACATGCACAGTTAGCCAGTTTTTCTCCTTCATACACTTTTGCGCCTGTTTTGCTACTCTTACGGGAATAGCATTAGAATTCATCAATAAAACATATTGTAAATAATCATTTCCCCTTGATTTCAGTTTAAAGAAAGCAATAAAACCTTTTGCTAGACAGCCATGCTAAACCAATCAAAAACAGGTTTAAATCTCTCTAGGAAAGTACACAAGATGACTCAAAATATATATATTAGCATATACAGACTGAAGCCAACAAGCTGTCAAATCTAACACACTAGTCTTTGTATTTATAGAATATATTCTGAAAATTTAGAGGTTGAAACATGAACAAAATACAAACACAGTGCAGTCTTTATAAATACAATTCATTACTTGAAAAAAGTTAACTTTATTAGAAATGTTTATGCAATGCACATAATGAATGCCTACAACTTGTCTAAAAACCTAAAAGGTGCATATAATAAGCATATAAAACACTACTCATTAAACCTAACTTCCTCAAAGTCCTCCTGGACTTTGGGCTTGAGGTCAAAAACTTTGATTTTGAGTTTTGCTGATTAGATACATTTGTTGTTATAGAAATGACTAGTACATATTACTATGTAAAAGTAAAAAGTTAACATTATATCTTATTACCTTATTCTACTGTGCTAAAAAGAGTTGGAATTCAACGCTTTTCTCTTTTTTTCTCTTTTACCCTACACTTTTTCCTTTTCCACTTTCCCATTTTTTAATTTTTTTTCTTTGCTTTCATATTTTGATAAAAGTTGAGAGGATCAGAAACCTAAATTCCTCAAAGAAATATTTTTTTGGTTCCACCACAAATGCGCGCACAACAAAAGCGCGCCTGACTAAAGCGCGGTGACTAAAGCGCGGTGACAAAACCGCACGATGAATGAGCGACTAATTAGCCCTAAAGCGCGCCGACAAAAGCGCGCCGACAGAAGCGCGCTGTAACGGAACCCTAACCCTAAACCTAACCCTAAACCTTACC